TCAAGACCAGTTTGGACTATGTAGTGAGTTCCGGACCATCTATAGCTACAAAGTGAGACCTTGCTCTCACAAACAGTGTAAAACTTACAAGGATTTAGGATGTCGTTCGTTACCCATCAGACCAGTGAAAACACAAAAGCTGATGTCTAGGGTCGTCAAGGGACTGGACACTGCTGGGGGAGGTAGATGACAGCGGCCTCAGTGCACGATTGTGCGGCAGCATCTGCCCATGTGAGGGGGCTGCTTCCTACACTGTAATGATCACACGTCTCGGCATGGAACTCAGGAGCTCAGGACAGGGACTCGAGTCACAGTTCGCTTATGGAAAAGTCGGAACCACCGAAGTTTGAATCTGCCTGGAAGAGGGTTTTCTGATTTCTTTGGTGTCTTAGTTAGGGTTACTGTTGCTGAGATTAAACACCATGACCAAAGCAAGTTGGGGAGGAAAGGCTTTATTTGGCTTATGTTTCCATATCACAGTTCATCACCGAGGAAAGTCAGGACAGGAACTCAGACAGGGGAGCAGCCTGGAGGCAGGAGCTGATGCTGAGGCCCTGGAGGGGTGCTGCTTACTGTCTCCTTCACCATGGCTTGCTCAGCCTGTTTTCTTATAAAACAGCAGTTCTCAACCCCTTTGAGTTGAACGACCTTTCACAGGGTTGCCTAAGATCATCATAAAACACAGCTATTTATATTATGATTCATAACCATAGCAAGATACAAGTTATGAAGTAGCAATAAAAATGATTTTATGGTTGGGGGTCACCACAACATGAGGAACTGTATTAAAGGGCTGCAGCATTAGGAAGGTTGAACACCACTGTTATAGAACCTAGGACCACAGGGCCAGGGATGGCACCACCCATGATGGGCTGGGCCCTCCCCCATCAATCTCTAATTAAGAAAATGTCCTTACAAGCTTGAGTGCTTACGGCCCGATCTTCTGGAGGCATTTTCTTAATTGACATTGCCTCCTCTAAGATGACTCCAGCTATATCAAGCTGACCTAAAACTCTAGAGCCTCAAGCCAGCACATTTGTTTTCCCTCTTTTGGAGTGCTGGGGATCAAATTCATTCCCCTGTGCATGTTAGTAAGCACTTTGCTGCTAAGTTATATCCCAAGCCCTGTAGGAAGGTTAAATGGTCCCTAATACCCAGTCTATGGAACTGGCTAGGTTTTCATTTCTAACAGGGAAAGATCTAATAATGATCTCCTGATTTTTTTTTTTTTCCAAAGACAAGGTTTCACTATGTAGCCTTGGCTGCCTGGTGACTCACTATGTATACCAAGCAGTCCTCAGACTTGGGACAATCCTCTGCCTCTGAGTGCTGATATTGCAGGCATATGCCACCACACCTTGATCTTATTTGGGTGGTTGAGAGGGAGAGAAAAAAGATAAGCTGTAGTGATCACTTGCATATTTAAAAATTAAACAAGCGAGGCATGGTGATACATGCAATTCCAGCATACAGAAGGCTGAGGCAGAGGAATTGAGCATTCGAAGCCAGCCTGAGCTACAAAGCATGCCCCAAATTAGTCAAACAAATGAAGCCTAACCCTCTTGAGTCTCCAGGAAAATTCCATTTCCTTCCTATGCATGCATATCTCTATCCAAGTAAATAGCAATATGGTGGATTTTGTTTTTCGTTTTACATAATTTGTTCCACATATACTGATCTGCAGTTTATTTTTTTCAACTTATAAGTTGAACTTAAGGTTCATTATTAACATGTTTAATCTTGATTATCAACTTGACAGGATATAGGAATGCCTAGGAGACAAACTGCTGGGCATGTCTGTGAGGGAGTTTTCAGATCAGGTTAATAGAGGTGGGGAGACCCACTCTAACTATGAGCAGCACCATCCCCTGGGCTGGGGTCCAGAATGAATGAAAAGGAGACCGTGAGCCGAACACCAGCATTCATCTCTCTGCTTTCTGAGTGAGGATGCAGTGTAAACAGCTGCCTCTCACTGTCGCCATGGCTGCAGCGATGGACCCTGCCTTCACTGTGAGCCAAGAGAAAGCCTGCCTTCCTGAAGCTTTCTTTGCATAGGGATGAGGAAACTAATTCAGAGGTTGAGCAGGAGGATTGCATCTCTATAGCTAGTCTGAGCTGCAGAGTGAGGGGAGAGGGAGAGAGAGGGCGAGGGAGGGGGAAACGGGAGGAGGAAGAGAGGGAAGAGGGGAAGGGAAGAGAGGGGAAGTAGGGAAGAGGAAAAGAGGAAGAGGGGGAAGGGAAAGGAACACATCCTATTTTTAATTCTTTTGACTATTTACCCAGAGGTGGAATTGCTGGATCATATAATTCTATTTTTAAATTTTGAGGAACAGCTGGACTGTTTCCCATAGCAGCTACCCAAGTTTTTATTCCCACCAGCATGATGCAAGGATCACAGTTTCTCCACACTGTGGTCAACACTGTTCTATTTTATTTATTTTTGTGGATTTTCTAATTAAAACATTTATTTTATGTGTATAGGTATTTGGTCTGCATTAAGTCTGTGCACCATGGGTGTGTGGTGCCAGGGAAGCCAGAAGACGGCATTGGGTCCCCTGGGGTTGGGGAGTTACACACAGTTGTGAGCTGCTATGTGGATGCTGAGATTCAAACTCAGGTCCCCCGTCAGAGCAGCCAGTGCTCTTAACTGCTGAAGCATCTCCCCAGCCCGTTTTGGTGTATTTGAGACAGGTTCTTGCTATATAACCCAGATTGTCCTGAAACTCCTTTTGTGTCAGCCTTCCAAATGCTGACATCACAAGGCTGTGACACCAGGCCCAGCTTGTTTCGTACTAGTCATCTTTAAAGGACATGAAGTTGTTAGTTGTTCTGAATTTTTTTGTAATGTTAAACAAGCCAGAAGACTGAAAACAATGCATAGTTAAACACAGGGTCTTAGACGTTAGGCTTGAATTCTCATCCTGGTTTTGGTAAATTCTAGTGCTGTGACCCCTATGCACATTACCTTGGGCTCCACTGCCCCCTGTAAAATGAATGTAACAGCCACATAGTTAGAATGGTAAGGTTCAGCAAGATAATATACCTAAAGGACACAGCGCCAGGTAAGCATCCATCTGTCAATCCCCAGCAGTCATATAAAAAGCTGGTGTGGTGGTGTGTGCTTGTAATTCCAGCACTGAGGAGACAGAGATGGGCAGATCTGTGGCGCTGGCTGACCAGACAGTGTAGCTGAACGGGAGTGCCTCGAGTTCCAGTGAGACCCTATCTCAGAAAACAGGGTGGACGGCAGCTGAGGATGACATGTCTGGCTTCCACGTGCATATGCACATCTAAACACACACACACACACACACACACACACACACACACACACTCACACACACACACACCACATACTATTTAATTTTTGAGGCACAGTCTAGCTGCATAGTCCCAGCTGGTCTTGAACTTCTAGACCTCCTGCTTCAGCTTCCAAATGTGGGAATGTGGCACCATATATGGCAATCTTTTCTTTCCTTTAAAATGTGGCTATACCCAAAATGAAAAACCCTCTCCTGTTTTCCCTCTCCCAAATCTCTTTCTAGCTTTTGATGTTGCCTCTCTGTGTTTATATAGGTTAAGATTTGTTTGTTTGTGATACACAGAGGGTGGCTAGTTGTTCTAACAGCCTGCCCTAACTAGTGAGTGTCTCTTTCCCTGCTGATTTTCTCCAACTTCTAACTGTACAGGGGTCTGGTTTTGCATTTTAATTTATTTCGTGTGTGTGTGCCTGCATGCGTGCATGCATGCATGTGTGTGTGTGTGTGTGTGTGTGTGTGTGTGTGTGTATACGCACATGCTGTGGTGATTGTATACAGGTTAGAGGACAACTTTTGGAAAATGATTCTCTCTTTCCATCATGTGGGTTCTGGGAACTGAACTCAGGTCACAAGTGCCTTTATGCACTGAGCCGCCACCTCATCAGCCCAAGGGTCTGCTTTTGGGCATTTTTGTATTTGGCTGATCGAGTCTAGAGCCAGTATTACCCCTTCCCAGAACTTTTGAACCAGGAGTTGGCAGGTGGGAGTGAGCATCCTTTGAAAGCTGCCCTTTAAACTCAGCCCGTTAGAGTACACAGCAATCGTTGTGGTGAGCTTTGGAATGGAATGTCCTGAAAAACTAAGTTGGAGGGAAGCTGATGTGTTTACGGCCCTGAGTTCCCTTACAGGGTAGCTTCAACCACCCCACTGGCTATTTCTCCCGTTTCAGGCCGCCCAGGTGGGGCTGCGAGTTCTCTTTCATTAAGGACTGACCGTCTTAGGATACAAGCTCTTATTACCATACTTTTCCTTGAAAAGCCGGGGTGGGGGTGGGGGTGGGGAGTTGGAGACAAACAGCCAAACCAAATGAGGTTTGAAAAGCGACCAGCAATCTGTGTTGGGGAGACAGGCTGGCTGTTCAGGGAGGTGACCTTGGAAACACAGTTGACGATCTGCCAAGATGAAGTCCAGGGCCACCCAGGACTCTCCTCTAATATCTGAAAGCTGGCAGTTTTGTAGGAACAACCAGAAAATTGCAGAAATCACAAGTGTTTGGGGCCAGAGGCTTGTTTTAATTACCTGTCGCCCTACCATACAGATGATGAAGTTTTAAGGGTGGGAAGATAAAGCTCTTTGGCTGTGGCTTGCCATCTTCTCCCAGAACTGAGATGGACTTCGAGGGATGGAGTGCCACATGCGTGTGTGTGTGTGTGTGTGTGTGTGTGTGTGTGTGTGTGTGTGTGTACATACGTGTGTACTGTCTCCAGGGCTCTGTCCTAGTCTCTAACAGATGGAAGCCTAAATCTCAGGCTTCTTTTTGCTGGATGAGTTCCATGGAGTGGGACCTTGCACCCTCCCAAGTCCTTCCCACTTGAAAAAGAGACCAGTCTTCGGTTCATGCTGGGCACGGGATTTATTCACATTCCCGAGCAACCACGGACACCCGGCACTATTTGCATAGTCTGTGGGGGAGGGGCTCGGTCCTCACTGGCAACAGCTGCATTTCTCCGCCTCCGCCTTGGCCCCCTCTTCTCCTTTGCACACGCAGTCCTTGGCACACTTCTCACACCCTGCAGGGCAGCAGGAGCAGCAGCCTGTAGAGAAAATGGGGTGGGGTGGGGGAGTGTGTGGGTCCAGTCTGATGCCCTCATGCGTCTCCATCGAAGGGGAGGAGAAAGGAGTTTGGAAGCTGGGGAGTCCTGGCCAGCACGGGTTGACTGTCCCTTTCACACTGTCCTGTGAGGTCTGACAGCATCTGGGGTGTTGCAGTTGCCGCTGGGCTTCTCCAGACAGCCCCAGCTCCTTGGGTGGGCGCTAGGGCATCCCCTGGGAATGCTGGGCTCAGGGAGAGGTGGGTCCTAAGGAGAAGGCAGGAGACTTGCCCCACCCATAAGGCTGGAGGGTCAGGGACGGCGCTGAGGCCAGGGCATCCATGGGATTCTTGCCTAGTCACACCCGGGAGCGTTGCTCCCACCTCTGCCCCTCCCCCACGCATATTCCATTGCTGTGAGCTGGAGAGGGCAAGTTGCGGAGAGCCACAAGGCCTGAGGGGGGCCAAAGAACTGCAAGTCTGGAGTTGACCCCCGGTCTTTCTTGGGGCTCCCCAGGCACTGGAAACATTGAAGAGCGGGCCTCGAGCCGGGGCTTAGCTGCTTAGCTCTGGTCAGCTACCTTTTGATGTGTTGCGGAAATTCATCAAAATATCCCTTCCCACACACTCCGGCCTACTGTGTTCACATCCGTAGACACAGCCTCCGCAGTATCTGAAGGTCTGCAGCACGGAGCTTTGCTACCTAGTGTCTTGGGGGTGGGCAAAGGAGGGGTGCGGGGCGGGGGGGGGTAAAGGAGGGGTGCACTCACTCTTCTTGCAGTTGGTGCATTTGCAGCCTTTGCACTTGCATTTGTCCGAGCAGGTGCAGGAACCACCTAAGTGGGCACACGAAGGGTTAAAGTAGGAAAACCTGGCGTCCCCGGCCCTGAAAGTAGATGGGTAGCCAACACCCGTTATCTCCATCGCAGGGTTAAAGAGGAGAAACAAGGGGCTCCTCCCCCCAATGCCCTTGCGCCTGAAGACACAGGAGTGGGGTTCTCTGCCAGTAAAGGTGCTGCAGGAGTGGGAGGGGACTCACCAGTAGGACAGGGGCAGGTCTCAGGGTCCATATCCAGGCCGGCTGCCGCGCGAGACCGTAGCTTGGCTCCTCCAGGCAAACGGACGCGGAGTAGCTAGGACAGCAGGTGGCAAGGCTTTTATAGCCCCGGGCGGGGGCGCGCAAGCAGCGGCTTGGTGGCGTCCGCCTCTGCGCACGGCGCCTGCTCTCTCCGGTGTGCGCGCTGCGGCAGCTGTCCCCGAGTCTCGACCGAAGTGGCCCACCCTACCCGATGTCCACTCCCCGCCGCCGCTGCAGACGTCCCTCTAAGGGTGCCTGCACGTACCATCTTTGCAAGTGGAGGGAGACGAGTTCGTTTCGCCCTTTCCCATCGATTCTCCTTCCCCTTATCCTAGAATTCTCGATCAGTTTGGTCCACATGGGATGCCGAGGTGGGAGCAGAAAGAAATCTTTCTCAGCGAGCCTGCCACTGACCATCGCTGCAGCAGCAGCAGCAGCAGCAGCAGCAGCAGCAGCAGCAGCAGCAGCAGCAGCAGCAGCAAGGGCGCTCCCAAGTTGGCTCAAGAAGGTCGGAGTGTGGAGGCCTGCAGCTTGGTGGGAAGAAGACACGAGGCCTCTCCTGACACAGCATTTCCTACACAACCCTTCCACAGGACCCTGAACACCTCCTTCGCCCAGACCAATTAGACACCCTCTAGGGACCACCGCTTCTCTTTAGAGGTGGTTGGACACTGCTTCTCTTTGTTGTTGAGACAGGGTCTTAGCCCAGCCTAGTCTCGAACTTGTTATGCAGCCGAGGAGGAAGACCTTACAGTGTAATCCTTCTGGGATCAAAGGCAGGCACCACCAACCCTGGCTTGAGTTTTAGGTTGGTTTTTTTTTTTTTTTTTTTTTTTTTTTTTTTGAGACAGTGGGTGTGTTGTGTAGGAAGACCTTGAACTCTTAATTCTCTCATAACCCAGGTGGCCATCTTGAACTCAGGATTCTCCTGCCTCAGTCTCCTGAGTGCTGGGATAATGAGCATGCAACAGCAATTTGCCCTCAGACTTCAGTTTTGATGATGATGATGATTGTGTGTGTGTGTGTGTGTGTGTGTGTGTGCGTGTGCGTGTGCGTGCGTGTGTGTGTGTGTGTGTATGTATGCATGTTTTACCCATCCATCCCTGCTCTAATTGTCAATCAGACAAATCTGAGCCTCTCTTCCTAATCTGAGCTGGACAGTGGCCTTCAAGTGGCTTGGCCAAGGACAGGTGTGTGCTGAGCCCTGTGCCTGTGCACATGCACAGATAGACCAGCCCTCTATCGCTTTTTGCCTTACTGCCTGGAGATGGAGTTTCTCACTGGAGATGGAGTTTCTCACTGAACTGGAAGCTTGCCGGTTCAGCTAGGCTGGCAGGCTGGGGGTTCCCAAGATCCACCCGTCTCTGCCCACCAGTGCTGGGGTAATATGCCAGAGATCCGAACCCAGGTCCTTGAGCTTGCATAGCAAGTGCATTTACCAACTGGGCTGTTTCCCTGCCGTCTAGGGTCTTCCTTTGTCGGACCAATATACGTTGGTCCTTGAGTCCTAATCCCGACACTCTGGAAGGATAGTCTGTGCCTGTGGTCCCTTTGCCTGTGAACGTTGTCTCCCCCCACCCCACCCCCACCCCCAGACTCCCTCCCTCCCTCTTACCCTCTCTCCCTCCTTTTCTTTCAAGACAGGGTCTCACTGTGTACACTGTGTAGCACGCTCTGAACTTGCAGTACTCTTGGGCCAGCCTCCAGGTGTTGGAACTGCAGGCATGTGCCCCGAGGCCTGGCTCTGCTTCGGGTTTCACTCACCTTACTTTCTCCGTGAGAACCTCCAGTCATATCAGCCTTTTGTTTTCTCTTTCTGTCATGGGCTCTATGTTCCTAGGCTTGCTCCTCTCTCACAGGCTGACATGTAAATTGGGATTCTCCCGGCTCAGCTTTCAGAGCGCTGGGATTACGTGCAATTACATCTATTTTCTGAGCAGCCTGTTCCGTGCGTGTCTCTGTGTGTGGGGAGCACTGTGTGTGTGACCACGCTCATGGAGGCCAGAGATGGACTTCAGATGTGTTCCTCTCCATTGCGCCCTCACTGAACCTGGAGCTGATTGACTCAGCAAGACTTGCTAGCCCACAAGCCTCAGGGTCCTCCTGTCTCCTCCTCCTCAAGGCTGAAATGACAGGGACATACTTTTTGAATGCGGGTGCTTGGGATTGAACACAGGCACTTTGTGCTTATGTGGAAAACACTTTACCAAACTGAGCCATCTCCCCAGTCCTGAGCAGCGTCTTTTAAATTCCTTGTTTTGGGTCTTGTTTCACAGTGCTGGGAGTTATATCCAGGGCTGCATACCAAGTATGAAGCTACTGAGGTGTACCTCTGAGCTACACCTCCAGCCAGTTTAGGATTAGAACACACATCTCAACCCCCAGTACTCCTAACTCCCTGCCTTGCTCTGTCTTTCCTTTCTTCATAGCATTTAACACCTTTTTTACAAATACATTGCTCACTTGTGAGTAATGTTTCAAGTTCTCTGCCCCTCCCCATAACCCCGACCTACGCAGGTAAGAGCAGCCATCTTTGTCTCTGTCCACTGATGTGCCCAAATTAAGTTTCCACCCACTGTGTACACCTGCGCCTGGTACACAGTCCCATCCAGAGCACAGTTAACAAATGAATGACCATTCATAACCTTGCCGACTGGGTTCCTTTGTCCTGTGGCTTCACTACTCACTAGACATATCGGTAGCTTGTGTTGCTCAGGGGAAAGTGGTAATAATATCCGTCGCTACTTTACGGATTCCTCAGGACTTTCAATGGGTAGCACATGAAAAACACTCAGAACAGAGCTCCAGCCAGGCTGGCTGTGACCACTTATAAACAAGCATGTCCTATGTGACCCCAGCTTCACAGTCAGTCTGAGCTCTGTGCTTCTGGAATGGGGGTCTGTAGACAGGGGCTTGTGTGTCCCTAGGGTCACTCACAGCCGGCTTCACACCACACCCTCCCAGCAATCCGGGATAAGGGAGTTTATGGAGATCTACCTTTTTAGGTAGATTGATTTCAACAGGCAGGGACAGGTAGGCTGAGGGGTGGAGAACAGCCAGGGTCACACCTACCCAGAGTGGAAAATCCCCAGGTGATTTCATAAAAGCACAAGGAACAAGGCGAGTCCCACACCCTGGTCGAAGTTGATCCAGTGCTGGATTAAGATTTCTTTATTCGCAGAGTTTCCCAGTTTACTATGCTGGGACTGAGCAGTTGGCCAGGGTTTCAGGAACCTCCGCAAACAGTGTTCAGAAGAACGCTTGCACATCTATCTGCCTCTCTGCAGATGCAGTCTTTTCTCAGAGTGACTGCAGTGTTATCAGTGTGAACTGCAGCTGACGTGGGTTTGCCTGGCCGCTGAAGCTGGGGTGAGGAATACTGATTGAGGACCTCTGTGGGTTCTAGCTCTAGCTTCCGTAGTAGGTAGTTGTGTGAACTCAGGAAGCCTCGTCCAAGTTTGGACACAAGTTTTCACATGGGTTTACCAGATGTCTGCTAGTTGGCTCCCACAAACAGTGCCTCCACTGTGGGGAGCAGTAGTTACTGCATGCCAGGTACCCTGTCGTAGGCCACATATGGCTATGTATTTCTGAGACTACTTTCAATTCTGCTATTTTGGTAAGTGGGGAAACCGAGGCTGAGAGAAATCAAGTGACTAGTCCTAGAGGCAGACTCAGGACTTGAATCCAGGTCCAGTGTTCTTCAGCCTGCCCTGACGTATTCCGGTTATCTGGTCTTTTAGTCCACAGCCTGGCCATAACACTGTTATGAAACAGTAAAGAACATCAGAATTCTAACCTCATAACCCCCAGGTAGTAGGTTCTTCACTACAAACAGACCTTAGTCTGGGCCAGGGTTCTTTCTGCTATGTTAGGGACCTTGCTCTTCTCTTCAGGGAAATAGGTGGTAGGCCTAGGCCAGTTGTGAACTGTAATAACTAGACCCAGAATGCCTGAAGTCATTTATGCCATTGACTTCCCATCTGCCACCAGATGATGGTGATGGTGCTGCTGGTGGTGGTGGTGATGTTCTCGATGATTTGTTTTTTTGAGATGGGCTCTCTCTATGTAGTTTTGGCTGTCCTGCAACTAGCTCTGTAGACCAGGCTGACCTCGAACTCATGGATCCTTCTATTTCTGCCACCTGAGTACTGTGATTAAAGGCGTGTGCCACCATGCCTAGCCTGTCACCAGATTATTGATGTGTATGAGGTTTTATCTTTGAGCTGGTGAAGTGGCCCTCCCTTCCCAGTCCTGATGGTGCTCTGCTCGCCCTAGGTTGGGACTGTGATGCTGAGACACCTGAAAACTCATGTCATAGCCTATCTCTTATTTTAGCAGATGAAAGGATGAGAGAGAACATGAATGTTTGCCAGAGTCACACAAGAGTGACATGAAGCTAGAATTCAAACTCTTGACTCCAAATCTGGTTCCAGCTTCCTCAAATGACACAACTGTATAGATCAATCCAGAATCCCTTGTTGACTTCTGGATCAATCTCCCAGGTTGTTTTAAGGACATTCAACTCAGTGCTATCTTGAATGCCTCTCCCATGCTGCCCCAGCTCTCCCCGACCCCTTTTCACACACAGAGGCTGCAGGAGGCAGGAAAGGGGCAAGGGAGGGAAAATTGGGAAGCCGCAGCACCTACTAGAACTTTCGGGGCTTTGCTTGCTGTTTTGGTGTTTGTCTCCATGGTTACCCACCACTTCTGCCAAATGATTCAGTGTCTCAACAGCAATGACACAGGATTCCTTTCAAAAATAAATTTCAGCACAATCATAGGCCAGCTGATAGGTGATCATAACTAAATGTATGTGCTTCGCAAAGGACAGTAGGCAGTCTGGAGTCCTGGGTGCTTAGATCCAATGGGCTCCAGGTCAGTTCTTTGCCCTTCCTGTGTTCCCTGAGCCTAGGGCCATTTACTGCCCTCCTCTGTACCTGACCTAACAGCTTTTGACCATTAAGTAAATCGTTTGGAATGCACAAATCACTGATTTCACTGTTTTTTTTTGTTGTTGTTGTTTGCTTATTTGTTTATTTATTTATTTTGAGACAGGTTTCTCTGTGTAGCCCTGGTTGTCCTGGAACTCACTCTGTAGACCAGGCTGGCCTTGAACTCATGGAGATCCAACTGCCTCTGCTTCCTGAGTTCTGAGATTAAAGGCATGTGCCACCACTGCCCAGCTAGGGGC